CACACACTCTCCTGCTTTCCGCTTGACTCACAGTTGCTACTGTCTTCTTGGCCAAAAAAAGTCACAAGGGGAGTCCAGATGCGAAGAGGTGGAGATAGACTCCACTTCCTGATGGGAAGAGCCACAAACTTTATGGCCATTTTGTAACTTATCATACTTAGTCGATCTTGATGACAACGCTAAAGAGAGAAGTGCTATTGTTACTGTCATTTTACAGATTAGGAAACTGTGGCATAAAGGAGTTGAATTTGGAAGCTCTCGAGTGTTGGTTCCATGATGCCATCCCTGGCCTGTCTGAAGACCTTCATGCTTCCACTCTGGAGGCCACCCAGAATAAAGAGCACAGGCTTTGACTGGCCCCAGAGAGCTGATCACATTCCAGTGCTGTCACGTGTGCACCAGACACTTCACGGGCACACAGCAATTTCTGGCTTCTTTCTGCCCTTCCCAATTCTGTTGTGCATTTCCTCCCTCCCTCCCTCCTTCCTATCCTTCCTATATTCATTTAACAAACATTTGGCCGCTGGTTGCATGCTTGATATTGTTCTAGGTGCTGGGATAAGACGGTGAACCAAATAGGTGAAGACCTTGCTTTTGCGAATCGTACATTCTAATAGAAGAGAGCGAGAAGGAAAAAAAGCAAATATACAATATTTCAGGTGGAGAGAAGTACTACAGAGGAAAATGATAGCAGGGCAAAGGGGGCTGAGTGTGTGAAGTCAGGGGACACAATTTATAGGGTTGTGATTTGGGTCCAGAGACTTCTCTGTGTCACATTTTCTTCTCTATGAAATGAGACTTGGAAAAAATGGTAGCATTGGATACCTCTAGAGAGGCGAATGGGTGGCCACAGAAATGGGTAGGGGTAAGACTTTTCACAGTATAATCTTTTTAATTTTTTAAAAAGTGAGACCTGGGCTGTTCCCTCTCCTAGCTCTAAGATTTGATGAGCAATGCAGTACGGTATTATTTTGTTAGTTATAGTTTTCCTGAGCCGTTTTTAACCCGCATGAACCATTTTTTAAAAATAGCTGAGTATACCTCTAGTTAGAGGAAACATAGGAAAAACCATTGTCTTAGTTTCTCTCTTAGGTAACAAAGAAGCTGGGGGAAAAAAATTACACTTAGCAGACATGGAGGGCTGAGGTTATTTCAGTCACAGAAGTATTTGGCTGTAGGGGTTCAGGGTTCCCTAAATTGACTTATCCTGAATTTTTAGGAGCATATCAGTAAATCTGACATCATACTACCACCTGCAAGTTGTGTGACATCACTAAGAGAGCACATAATGGAAAAACTCGGTGTTTTGTAATCATGCAGTTCTGGCTTCTATCAAGTCTAAATCCTATTACTTAGACTAATGTCTGTGAAGTTTAATCCTGACTCTATTCCTTTTGGTGACTTAACCTCCAGCAACAGGTTCTTCCTCCGTATAATAGAGACAGTGGATCACAACCTGTCAATCACAATTTCCCAACTCCAAAATGGTCTGAAAACAAAGGGCTTTTTAATAAGTCTGGCTCAAGGTCACTTGGCAGTACAGTGTGCTCTGATATATAATAAAGTGATCCCACTTAGTATAACTATTCGAAATGTTTTGCCGAGGAAGTGTCGATAATCCGTTACAGGGAGCCGTTCCACAATGACAGGCTGTATGTGCATTTCATTGCCTGTCTTCTAAAACACTACAGATTCTGAATTCTGCTACACATCTGGCCATGAAGACCTTGGGTGGATTGCAGGTCTGTATCATATCATCTTTGAAAGGTTGCGTAATGTTTGTACTGTGTTTGGCATGTAGTAGCTGCCCAGTAAGTGGCAGGTATTACTCTTGCTGTTATGTAACTTCATTTCTCAAGTTTGTGGGGTTTTCCCTCCCTTCTGAGGGAGGCTGTGTTACTTAATCTGAATGGAAGGCCGTGGGGAGGGTTGGTTGCTGTCCACTTGTGAAACTATCTTTCAGGGGGAGCCCCAGTCGTGGGAGGGCAGTCCTGTACTTCTCACCACTGCACACTCTTCCTCTCAATGCCCTTCATCCCTGTTTTCTCTCACTGGAGAGTTCTTGTGAGCACGCTCATCTCAGACAGCAAAGAAAAACATCAGGAGGCTCTAGGGACAGGCCACAGTAGCTTTAGCTTTTTATTTAAAAAAAATTTTTCCCGTTAGCTCATGGGAAGCAAGCAGTGGAAATGTTTTTAACAGTGGTGTTTTCCATAGTGTGTTTCATAGTTATATCTCCCTGTATCTTCTTGGCAATTTGAGGAAATTATTGTTACAGAATGAGGTATTGACACAAATAGGTGCCAGGAAAAAAGAATGATGGGGTAAGGAGATGCGAAGTGATTTCATGACCTCGCTCCAGTGGTTAAGAACCCGCCTGCCAATGCAGGGGACATGAGTTCAAGCCCTGGTCCGGGAAGATCCCACATGCCACGGAGCAACTAAGCCCATGTGCCACAACTACTGAGGCTGTGCTCTGGACCCTGTGAGCCACAACTACTGAGTCCACGTGCCACAATAAGAAGCCCGCGCACCGCAGCAGCAACGAAGAGCCAACGCGGCCAAAAATAAAATAAATAAATTTATATTAAAAAAAAGACAAGGATGACTGCTTTAAAAAGAAAAGAAAGAGTGGAGAAGGTGTGTTGGAAAGGAGGGGGCGTCCTTCAAGATTGTTGCTCTTCAGAACAAGTGCAACGAACCTTTTTTTTTAATATATAAATTTATTTATTTATATTTATTTTTGGCTGTGTTCTGTCTTCGTTACTTTGCGCAGGCTTTCTCCAGTTGCTGCGAGCAGGGGCTACTCTTTGTTGCAGTGCGCGGGCTTCTCTCATTGCGGTGGCTTCTCGTTGCAGAGCACGGGCTCTAGGCACAGGGGCTTCAGTAGTTGTGGCACGTGGACTCAGTAGTTGTGGCTCACAGGCTCTAGAGCACAGGCTCAGTAGTTGTGGCGCGCGGGCTTAGCTGCTCCATGGCATGTGGGATCTTCCTGGACCAGAGCTTGAACCTGTGTGCCCTGCATTAACAGGTAGATTCTTAACCTCTGCGCCACCAGGGAAGTCCCAATGTGTGATGCACCTTTGACATCAGCCCCCAAACCCTTAGTTGTATCCGGGGATTAAAACATTTGGCAGTGCAGTGAAAAAGGAATCACTGTGGCCTGATAACAACAGTTGTATGTGAAGAGCTGGCTTAGAGCTCAGAAAAGAGCTGTTATTCTGTTCCTTCTATTTTATTGTGAAGTCTTGCCTCTCCATATTTTGATAGGGAAGGAGTTGGTGAATTGTTTTTAAATACTCTTTGCAACTTATTCATTTACTCATCAGACCTTCACTGAGTATTTTTATATGCCAGACTGTATGTACAAAATGATTTTACTAATATATGGTGCTTAGTAAATGTTAATTTTTACTAATTTTTTAATTGAACTTGGCAATAATTTCTCACGGTTATGTGATTTAAAAAGAAAAGCTTTATTCTCTTGACAGAAGAACATGTATCCATGGTAGGAAATAAACACATATGAAAAGAAGGTAGTTCACCTGGACCCCAGCAGGGTCCCAAGGTTCACTGTTGACATTCCAAAGTGACTATGGGATTTCCATATACATATATATATATATATATATGTATGTATATGTGTGTACATATATTTATTTATTTATTTTAAACCATCCCCCCTGTTGTTAGATATTGCAAATGTTTCCCGTTTCTCTCTTAAAAAGAGAGTGGGGGAGACTTGGGGGGGTGGTATATGGGGACTCTGTATTTTCCACTCAATCTTCCCTGAACCTAAAACTGCTCTAAAATATAAAGTCTCCATAAAAAAATATACAAAACAGCCAGCAATTCTTTCTGATATGCTTGCATATCAGAACATGGCTTTTTTTGGTTTTTCTGGAAAAACAGTTTTTGTCTTCCTTAGGGAAGAGTAAATAAGGTTCGTAAAGATCGTTACAGCACACTGATTTGAAAGGGAAAGATGATTAGAAATCTTAAAAGGAATAGCTAGCTTTCCAGAGGATAATAGAGGTTTAACAGGTGTTAAAGGAAAACCAGAACTGGACAGTAGTTAAAAAGGGTAAAAACAGATTTCATTCAGAAAAGCAATTGCAATAGAGGAAAGAGACCTCAGTATAGAACTGGGCTCGGTTCCGAATTCAACAAGGAGCAGAGTGTGGGTGTGGGTGGATGGAAAAGGACTACGAGGAAACTCTGGGGTAA